GAACCAGCAGTTTCAGATCACCGTGACCCAACAACAGAACCAGATTGGAACCCTTCAGCAGAGCCACGCCGCGGCGGGCGCGGCAGCAGCTGCAGCAGCAGCTCCGGGCACCACTGAGGTGCTGCAGCAACTTGTGTCTGTGCTCACAGAGCAGACGAAGGCCCTCGCACGGCGCGAGAGGCCGCAGCTGGTGGACCAGAAGGCCATCGGGAAGCCATGGGCATTCACAGGGGATGAATCCAGGTTCCCAGAGTGGACCCGCAAGATAGAGGACTATCTGTGCGGTGTGGAGCCTCTGCTGGGCCGTGCGCTGGAGTGGGCCCTGGACCAGGACGACGCTGTCAGTTCCGACGACGTGGACCTCCAGTTCGGAGGCGCGGACGACAATTTCATCGAGGGCATGAAAGGTCTCAATCAACAGTTCAAGTCCGTCCTTGCCAGCACCGCAGAAGGTGAGGCATGGAGGATCGTGCAGAGCTGCCCCGGGAACGGCTTGGAAGCTTGGCGGCTGCTGCACCGCCGCTTCGACTCGCTCAGCGGCGGGAGGCGCCGGACACTGTTGAGGGCAATCATGTCACCCAGCAAGGTGAAGATCGAAGAGCTGGGGACAGCACTCCAGACGTGTGAAGCAATGGTGACCAGCTACAACAAGAAAGCGCAGAAGCTCGGAGAGGCACAGATTGCTGACGGCTTTCTTGCCTCGGCCTTGGAGGCCATGGTGCCCGAAGAGCTGGAAAAACACTTACAGCTCAACGCGTCCAGGCTGAAGAGGTGCGCCGACGTGCGTGCTGAGGTGGTGCAGTATTACGAGACCAGGACGGGGAAACAGGTCGAGATCAGCGTGGGGGACCGCATGCCGATTGCCAGCGCGGATACCGGGATCAAGCCCATGGATGTTGACTCTCTTGCTTGGAAGGGCAAGGGCGGCTCCAAGGGAAGCAAAGGTAAGGGCAAAGGCGAAGGCATAGACGGCAAGGGCAAGGCCCAAGGGGGCAAAGGAGACAACCCCCGACCTGCCCCGTTCGAAGGGTACTGCAACAACTGGTGGTGTCGCAAGTGGGGCCACAAGGCACAGGACTGCCGGGCGAAAAAGCCAGCCGGCCCGAAGGCGGAGGCGAAGCCCCTGGCCAAGGGCAAGGCGAAGGGCAAGGGCAAGCGCGCCGGCTCCTTGGACGCAGAGCAGGAGGACAACGGCGAGCCAGAAGGCGAACAAGGTGCGCTGGACATGGGGGCTTTGGACGCCGGGTTCCCAGCCAGACACTGCACCGACGGCTACCTCAAGTTCAACCTTGACACCGGTGCCGCCGCGACGGCGCACCCGCAGTAGTGGTTCGAGGGCCACGAGGCGAAGCACGACGGCAGTCACAAGGGCTACGTCACAGCGAGCGGGGAGAGGATCCCCGACTACGGCGGCGTCAAGCTGCGGTGCGCTGATGAGAACTCGATGGTGCGGAACATCGCGGGTCGGCTCACGGGCGTGCACAAGGTTCTGGCCTCCGCCTCCCAGGTGGCTCGGGCAGGGCAGCTGCTCGTGCTGGAGGAAGGCGGGGGGCGCGTCATCCCTCGCGACGGCATCATCGGCAAGAAGCTCTAGCAGGAGCTGGACAGGTTGGTACAGAAGTACGGCCACGAGACCCTTCTGCCGGTGTACGAGGAGAGAGGCGTGTACAATTTCTACATGCGTGTAGATGACCAGACAGAGGTCGCCAGGCTCGAGGACCCAGGCACGCGGGCAGCCCCGCAGCCGGGTTTTGGGCGGCCGGACCTTCGTCTGTAAGTCCGCTGGAAGGAGCGCTGGCAGGGGCGGGCAGCCCCGCGCCTGCCGAGGTGCCGGCCGCAGAGGCGGCCGGGGCACCGAGCGTGCCAGACGACGAGGCAGCGGACGAGCAGCAGGAGCAGCGCCATCGGGCATGTGCGCGCCCACCTACGCGGCAGGAGGTCGAGGGCCACTACGCGATGGGGCACGCGCAGTTTCGATCGTGGTGTCGGCGCTGCCAGGCAGCACGAGGCATTGGAGAGCAGCACCGGGCCGGGGAGGAGCCCGAAGGCGCAGATCCCGTCATTTCTTCAGACTACGGGCGCATGAATGATGACGGGGACGAGGGCGCCACAATGCCCATGCTCGTCATGAGAGACAGAGCGACGAAAGGTTATATGGCGACAGCAATCCCGAGCAAGGGGGTCGAGCCCTACGCGGTCAGATTATTTGCCGGGTGTGTCGAGGAGCTTGGATGGAAACGGTACGTGTCCAAGTCAGACAACGAGGCAAGCTTGGTGGCGCTGAAGGCCGCCGCCGGTGATGCTTTGCCTCGAGTGGAGATGGTGCCGCAGGAGAGCCCTGTAGGCGACCACCAGGCCAATGTAGAGGCCGAAGCAGCTGTCCGGGAGGTGAAGCGGACGATGAGGTCTTTGAAGGAGGCGCTGGAGGAGAGGATCCAAAAGCGCCTGCCTAGGACACGTGACGTCTGGACCTGGCTTCCCAGGCGCGCTGCTGCCTGCCTGTCGCGGCACAGGGTGGGCGACGACGGCCGGGCGGCCGAGCAGAGGGGAACCGGGAGGCGCTGGAACAAGGCCCTGATAGAGTTTGGGGAGCGCATCCACGCCCGGTTGGCGCAGGAAGAGCCGAGGTCCGGCTTTGCGCCCCGGATGGTCGAGGGCATCTACGTCGGGCGCCGCGCGCGGACCGGTAGCTTGATGGCGATGGCGGCGGCAGGGGTGGTGCGAGCCAAGACCTTCAACGAGATGACGGTCGAGGAGCGCTGGAAGGCGGACTTCTTCGACGACCTCAAGGGCAAGCCTTGGGGCATGGCGCCGGGTGCGGGAGGCTCCGCCCTGGCCAGGGCCGCCGCCGCGGGTGGCCCCGCAGTGGCGGCGGCGCCGCCGCCGCCGCAGCAGCCGGTGGCGCAGCGCGCCGGAGGCGCAGGAGGCTCTGGAGGAGGTGTTCCTGGGCCTAGGAAGTTGTGCATCCTGAAGAGGGGCGTGCAGACGCATGGCTCCGCGCCGGAGTGCGTGGCGCGCGGGCGCGTCGCTATAGACTTGCCGGCTGGCGTGGCGCGCGCGAGGCAGCGCGCCGAGCGGACGGCCGAGGAAATCCGCGCGGACCCAGTGCAGAGGCACCGCGTGGAGGCGCAGGCAGCTCGGCGGGCGCCGGGGCCAGACGAGGGGGCCGCAGCAGGAAATCCTCATCGTCCTCTCTCCTCTCCTAACCATCCTCATCAGCCTCATCGTCGTGAAGGACAGCATGGGGGAGAAGAAGCAGGAGGAGCAGCAGGAGGAGGGGGGCGAGGAGGAGGAGGGGCAGCAGGAGGACAGCCTGGAGAAGGAGACGGACCGCAGGGAGCAGCAGGAGAGCCCGGGTCAGCTGCGCACGGCAGCGGCAGTTCGGCGGGTAGCCCCGCAGCTGTCGAATCGAAGCCGGGGCGCGCCGAAGCCTCCCGAGAGCCTCTGGCAGGCTCAGGGGAACGACCTTCAGCGAAGAGACGTGTAGAGAGGAGCTCTGGGCCCCAAACTGAGCTCAAGCGGAAGCTGGTGGGGGCACCAGGGCAAACTGTCGAAGATGATGTAGAGCTGCCGCCAGCAATCCAGCTTAGGATCCAGGACGGGATGTCTGGGGCATCGCATGCGAGTGCCAGTTCGGGCGCCCCCGTGCTTCCTCTTGCGGGTGGCCCCGCGGGAGCAGCCGGTGAGGGCGGAACGCCGGCGGGAGGCTCCGCCAGCGACGCTGCTGGGTCCGCCAACCCAGGCATGGAAGTAGGATCTCTGGATCTTGGGGGGCTCTCGTGCGACAAGGAACCGCTCCGAGGAGTATGCCGCCACAGCATTGCATCGTCTTTCGAGCGTGACGGCGTCGAACTGTCATCCTTGGAGCTGGAAGAGATCACACATCTTTCACTGGAGTTGGGAGCCGTGGATGTGCCTGCGCTTCAGGCTCACTTTCGTTCGTTATGTTCGTTAGGAGGCGCATTGGGCATGAAAACAATAATTTGCGTAGACATGGAGGCGCCGAAACCTGACGGAAAGCATTGGGTCTTTAGTGACGATTCAGACGTGGCTGACTGGTTCAGGGCACTTGGACGTGAAGGCCCGTATCTTCTCATAGGGTCGCCTCCGCGTGTTGCATTCCATCTTCTTCAGGGTGGCAGTTGCAAAAGGGATCCCAGTGCCATGGCCAAGGCCATGGATATTGCTCGGAAGCCTTTGCGGGTAGCTTGCGAAAGCTATCGTCGACAGATGGACCGTGGTAAATATTTCCTTCACGCACGCCCGCATGATGTCAGGAGCTGGCATGATGAACAGATCAAGGCATTGCTTGCTCAAGAGAAGGTATCACGAGTGAAAGGTCCAGTGTGTAAGTGGAGTTTGGATGTTCAAGCCCACGAGAGGGCGCGAGATGGTGGTGCACGCTATCAAAGAGAGTCCACCGGTTTCATGACGAATCTCCCAGACTTGGCCAGAGAACTGGCTGAACAACGCCAGACCGGGTCGGAGGGCGGGCAGCCCCGCCCCGAACGCCACTATCACGTGAAGATTGTGGGTGGCTTGGTGAGGCGTGCGCCGGACCTCCCCCTTAGGGCGGTCAAGCGTGCCCTGCGTGCCATCAAAATGAGCATGCGTAGTGAAGGACATCTCTGTGAGCTGGCTGAGGCCGCGGCCGGGCCACTCCCGCTAGGCCCAGATCCGTTCGAAGACAGCCGAGAGCTTCTGAACGACGGCGAGCGGTACTGTATGATGTGAACGGTGGATGGCTCGATCCTGTCATGGTTCGACAGGCGCGCAAGTGCGAGGTCGATTGGTTGCGCCGGCAGGAGGTGTACGAGAAGCGGCCACTGCAGGAGTGCAGGAAAGTCACAGGGACCAATCCTATCAAGCTGTTGTGGACAGTCACAAACAAGGGCGACAACGTACGTCCCAACTACAGGTCGCGGATCGTTGTCCGGGAGAAGAGAGGCAAAGGCGAGGAAGGCCGGGCGCTGCCGGCAGCCTTGCTCTTCTCTGCGATGCCACCGCTGGAGGCGGTGAAAATCCTCAGTGCCAGGATGGTCCAGGAAAGGGTAAGTTCCAGAGGGCAGCCTCTCGGAATGAGATTCTTCGACGTTTCCCGTGCACACTTCTATGGCAAGGCGGAGAGGCCTGTGTACATAGAGCTCCCGGAGCAGGAGCAAGACGGAATCCATTGTGGATTATTGAAGAAGTCCATGTATGGGACTCAAGACGCGTCAGCAATCTGTCAGTGGGACTACACAGGAGTGCTAGAGAGTGATGGTCATGTGGCGGGCAAAGCCAATCCAGCGCTCTTCTACAACAGTCGGGATGACTGCCGCTCGTTGGTACACGGAGATGACTTTTGCGCACTAGGTGGCGTCGCGGCGCTGGACCAGATCGAGAAGGCGCTCAGATCCAAGTGTGATCTGAAGGTGACGGGAAACCTCAAGTTGGGCACAGGAGAGGAGCAGGAGGTGATCTTCTTGAACAGGGTGCTCAGGGTCGCGGGCAGCCCCGGCGACGAGAGGTTCGAGATCGAAGCAGACCCGCGACGCGCAGAGATGATCGCGAAGGAGCTTGGTTTAGGAGGAAGTTCTGCGAAGTCCCTGGACACGCCGGGACTCAAGAAGGAGGAAGCAGACGAGCAGGAGCGAGAGTCATCACCTCTTCTCGTAGGTGAGGAGGTGAAACGCTACAGGGGCGTCACCATGCGAGCTGCATATATTTCGCCTGATCGAGCTGATCTCGGTGATGCAGTCAATAATCTAGCGAAGTGCATGCAGTCTCCACGGCAGGTGGACATGGTTCGGCTAAAGAGGCTAGGAAGGTATCTGAAAGGTCGCCCGCGGGTGGTTCAGACGTACAGGCGGGATCTGAGAATCACGGCTGGCGAACCTGTCAACATCCTCGTCATGGTTGATTCAGACAACGCAGGGGACAAGATATCGCGAAGGTCCACAGTCGGACAAGTGGCGTTCATAGGAAGGCATTGCGTGAAGCACGGGTGCAATTTGCTGCAAGTCATCGGTCTTTCTTCAGGAGAGAACGAATACTGCGCCATCAGTGTGGGTGCTTGCGCCGGGCGCGGGATCAAAGGTATTCTCGACGATTTGAATGTTGCGTCCACTGTGAGGGTAGTCTCTGACTCCTCAGCCGCGCAGGGTTTCTCTTCCAGGCGGGGTGTGGGCAAGCTAAAGCACATCCAAACTCGGTGCCTGTGGGCCCAGGGGCGCATTGCCATGCGGCATCTGACATTCGGTAAAATCGGAACCAAGGAGAATTGTTCTGACCTTCTGACGAAGCCGCTAACGCGGAGAGAGATCGACGGCCACATGAAAAGCATTGGCCACGACTTCCGAGACGGACGGGCCGCAGCAGGGAAGCACCTTGTATGCTGACGTGCTGCGACGTGGGCGCGGGTAGCCCCGCTTGCCCAGCAAGGCAGGGTGGTGGACGCGGAGACGCCCAACCGGCCTGAGCTGATCAGCGGGCAGCCCCGCGGCAGCTCGAAACCACAACCTTTCTGAGTGCGGGCAGCCCCGCACAGCACTGAACTTCGCTACTGCGCGCTTCGCTACACTAAGCTTGGGCGGATCGCCACGCTCCGCTACCTTGAGGCGGCTGTGGAGTCGTGCAGGACGCTGCAATCTGGAATACAGTCCAGCGTGTAGCGAGGAGGGGTGTTGAAATATCCTCTCTGCATCTGTGCATGCATGATTATGATGAAAGTTGCTGCACTGTGTATGATCGTAACAAGCCCTTTCGGCACAAAACACTTCATGTTCTGGAACGTGAGCTGAACACGATCAAAGGGATGCATGCGATAGCCGACCTCCAAGCGTATACTTGTTTAGCGACGTTACACATAAGGGGCGCCGTCCAACTAGGAAACGAAATGCCACCCAGGCTGAACACAATGCGTACGCTAAAGTTTTTCCCCGCGGGCTCGGGGTGGGCTTCCACGGGGCCGCTGGCTGCGGCGCTGGGAGTGCCAGGCAAGTCCATGAGGCGTCCATTCAACCCGAGATCATGGTCCACCCGCCCCAGCAGGCAGATGGGGGACGAGGGGCGGATGCGAGGATTGGCGAGAGGAGCGAGAGGCCACAGAGCCAGGAGACACAGGAGAGCACGAAAGCAGCGTCGGAGGGAGGGGGGGAGGGAGGGAGGGCTGAGGAGGAGGAGGAGGAGGTGGAGGAGGGGAGCAAGGGAGGCACGCAAGGCGTGCTGTGGCCTCGTCCTGCTTGAGTACCAAGCCGCTGGGCGCCTCGCCGTGGAGGCAGCGGGCGGGTGGGTGTGGGGCGGTTGGTATATGGGCGATGGCCAGGTCCTTCTCCCGATGGCCCACGTGGCTGCCTACCTCAAGGCGTTCGACGCTGCCCTGGCCGCATGCGGCGGGACTACTCGGTTGGCCCCTGACTCGACGCTCAAGAGCGTGGCGCGTTTGGTCGTCGGCGGCGCGGCGGCTAGGCCAGTGCCGCATGACTGGGCTAGGCCGTGGATCGGGCCACCTGCGCAGCCGCGGACGGGGGGTTCGGCCTTCGCCGAGCCGTCGACCTGCGCTACCTGGCGTTCCTCGCCAGCCGGGTGGAGGCGCGGGGGGGGGCTTAGCAGGAGAGGTCTTGGACTCATTGCCGGAGCCGTGGCGCGGGGCTTTATTGGCGCATTTGGATTCCACCTCCGGCGCGTTGGCGGCGTGGCAGGCGGAGCTCCCGGCTTCGACTGCAGATGTCGCAGCCCAGCTTTTCCAGGCTGGCGCGACTGCAGCGATGATGCGGGCTGCGCAGCTCGTGGGGCGGGTGCCGCTGCCCCCCCCGCGGGGCCTCCTCTGCCGACTGGCGCCGACGCGCTCCTGTCCCCGCTGGGAGCGGGCGATTTCGAGCGTCCTGGGGTCGCACCTGGCCTCCAAGCGCGTCTGGCTGACCTCGTGGTCCGCCGCCGTTTCGAGTCCGTGGAGGAGGCGCTGCTAGAGCGGCGCGACGTGGCCGGCCTGGAGCTCCTCCGCGACCTGCGGGCACCGGGCACCGACCATGGATGGTTGTGGGAATTCTCCGTGGCGCGGGCGCTTCGCCCGGGGAGTTCCTGATCGCGGCGCGCCCGTGGGTTGGCGCCCCAGTGCCCCTGGTGCATGCGCCCGCTGCGGCGCGGAGCGGGGCGTCGACGGGGCGCATGCCGTGTGTTGCGCTCCAGGGGTGTCCACGCGCGGCCACAACAGAGTGCGGGAAAAACTCCTGGCGCTAACGCCCCTGTCCGATGGGGCCGCGCGGTTGGAAGCGCCGGGCCTCATCGAGGCCGCGCCGTCCCTCGCCCGTCTTATGTGCTCACCGCTGCTGCCTTTGCCCGGCTGACGGCGCTCGACGTGGGCATCGTGGTGCCGCGCGCGGCTAGGCCGTGCGAGAACGCCGCTGCGGCTTACGTTAACGGCAAGGTCGGCAAGAACGCGCCGCACCTGCCAGCGCTCGCTGCTGACGGGGTTGCCTACCGTCCCGTCTGGGCGACGTGGGGCCGCCCGCGCGAGGACGTGTCGGCCGCGGTCGCGCCCATGGCGGCCGCGGCAGGGAGGCGTCTGGGCGCGCCTTTGCACGCGCTCCCCACGCGGGCCCGCGCCGCCATTTGCGCTGCGATCTGGCACCGAGCGGCGCGCATGGTTGCTGCAAGCGGCCCGCTGCTCGCCCGAGAGGACGTTGGCGCCCTCCTGCTGGGGGCCTGGGCCGCCCACGCAGGTGACGCCGACGACGCCGCCTCCGACGTGGACCCGCCGGTGGAGCCGCCCCCGGCGGTGCTCTCTGACACCTGTTCGCCCGTCGCCTCCTGCCCGGCGTCGCCCGCCTGCCCTGCCCGCTTGTCCTCCGCCCTTGACTTGATTTTTTTCGTGGGCACGACAGGGCCGGTGGGGTGCGTGGCGTTGGCGGAGGCACTGCCTGGCGCGGCGGGCAAGGCGCTGGCCGGCCCCGAGGACGTTCTGGGCCCAGAGTGCGGCGACCCAGAATGACTCTGGCACGCTGCTGGTGCCGCCAGGGTGGCCGCCTGAACCCCATGGTTCAAAAAGATTAAGGAGACGGGCTCGAAAGTGCCGTCTTGGGGCCCTCTTTGGGCGCTCTTGGGGCGCTCTTGGGCGTGCTTGGGGACATCTTGGGGCCCTCTTGGGGCTCTCTTGGGCCGTCTTGGGGCCATCTTGAGGTTTAACAAACCCATCGGAAGCGCAAAGGCGAGAAGGCAAAACATCTGGATTTCCTTCAGGTTTTGGAGCCATTTAGGCTTGTTGGGGAGGCCCTTGGAGGACACGAAGGGCACTTGAACCGTCTTGGGGCCGTCTTGAAGCCTCTTGGAGGCATGTCGGAGGCTATCTGGACCCATCTTGAAGCATCTTGGGTCATCTTGGAGGCTGTCTTTGGCTCTCTGAGGCCCCCAGTGGGGCCATCTTGGACCGAAAAGCACCCCCTGACATCTCGCGGGGTGCCCTGTCCAGGCCCAGTTGAGGAAGTAGGGGGAGGGGTCAGCCCCTTCCCTTGAACATGGCGAGAAGGAGCTGTTGGAAGAAAAAAGGCAAGAGCTCGTTAAACAACCGACGCCCAGAGGGCTGGTGGGTTTCAATGGCATGGTGTGTGCTTCAACGCTCTGCCTACTGTACCACGATATGTTGTGTTACGCGAGCCGGTGTTGCGAAGTTTTGCTGTGCCATGACATGATGCTGCGGGATGATTTGCTTCGATTGGCACTCTTTCTTGCGTTGCGCATCCAATATGCCGTCATCTTCAGAAAGCATACCCCTTCTTGGTGTCGCGCCGATTGTTTGGCGAAAGACGCAAGCGGGTGCCTGCCAGCTCGCATTGGGCCCTGCAGCGGGTCTGCTCTCCTTCCTCTTCCTCATGTTCGTGCTCGTGGTGCTCCTCATTCTCTTCCTCCTCCTATGATCACGACCTGTTCCCCACGGTCCTGCTCCCTTTCGCTCCCCTCCTATGCTCTATCCTTTGCCTCTGCCTCCCTTCTCGTGCCGATTTTCCTGCGTCGTCGTCGTCGTCCTCAGTGTGGCCTGTGCCCCTCTGCCCCTCTGCGTCTTTTCCGTCTTCCGCCCCTCTGCCTCCATCATGCCCTCCTGGTTCTTTTCCGCCTGCTCCATGCCCATTTCCAGTTCTTGATGTCCGAGGTCTTTCTCGACAGCGTTGCCTTTCCGGGGTCCATGTATCTTTCGACACCCGGCTCTGCGAATAAAGGGTGGGGGTTCGATGCGGCGGGAAGGGAATGCAGGGAGGGGGGAGGACGTTGTGGCGCCATCGCGCATTCATTCCCAACCATCTTGCGGTGTTGGGTCCTCGTTTTGAAGAGACAGCGCCCCGCGTTCCTCTCCTCTCCTTCCTCCTCCTCCCCCTCCTGTGCCCTCCGCATGTCTTTGTTTCGGCACACCCAGCACAGCGTTTCGTGACCCCATAAGGAGCTCCACCGAAGGCGCCAGTGGCAGGGTTCGCATGGCGGCCTCGGGCCATTCGGGCACACCCCTCACGAGGATCGTGGCCCCATAGGAGCTCCACCGAAGGCGCCAGTGGCAGGGTTCGCATGGCGGCCTCGGGCCATTCGGGCACACCCGTCACGAGGATCGTGGCCCCATAGAAGCTCCACCGAAGGCGCCAGTGGCAGAGTTCGCGTGGCGGCCTCGGGCCATTTCGGTACACCCAGCACACCGTTTCGTGACCCCATAAGGAGCTCCACCGAATGCGTCAGTGGCAGGGTTCGCATGGCGGCCTCGGGCCATTTGGGCACACCCCTCACGAGGATCGTGGCCCCACAGGGAGCTCCACCGAAGGCGCCAGTGGCAGGGTTCGCATGGCGGCCTCGGGCCATTTTGGCTTACCCCTCACGAGGATCGTGGCCCCATAGGGAGCTCCACCGAAGGCGCCAGTGGCAGGGTTCGCATGGCGGCCTCGGGCCATTTGTGCACACCACTCACGAGGATCATGGCCCCATAGGGAACTCTGCCGAATGCCCCAGTGGCAGGGTTCGCATGACGGCCCCGGGCCGTTTCGGAAGGCCCCAATGGCAGGGTTCGCATGGCGGCCTCGGGCCATTTCGGTACACCCCTCACGACGATCGTGGCCCATAGGAGATCCACCGAAGGCGCCAGTAGCAAGGTTCGCATGGCGGCCTCGGGCCATTTCGGCACACCCCTCACGAGGATCGTGGCCCCATAGGAGCTCCACCGAAGGCGCCAGTGGCAGGGTTCGCATGGCGGCCTCGGGCCATTTGGGCACACCCCTCACGAGGATCGTGGCTCCATAGTTGTGCTGCTTCAATAACCGCGCCTGGGCGTCGTACTCCGCCTTGTCGACGTGCAACGCCACCTCCTCATGGCTCTCAGAGCCCTCTCCTGCTTCTGCTCCTCGGTCAGAGGGACGCCGTCCTCGTCGTCGTCGGCGCCCGCAAAGATGACCACGAAAGTGTCACTGAGCATGTCGGGCTCCGGCGGGAAGCCGTGGCCACATAGGGAGCGCGGGCGAAGATGGTATTCACAATTGCGGTATCCACGACTGCGTATGGTTGGGGCCTTCGCCAGTCTAGTTGTTTTATTGTCTTTCCCCCCCTCCCTCACTCCTCCTGCCTCCTGCCTCGTCCCTCCTCCCTCTTGATCTTCCCCGCCTCCGTCCACTCTCTTCACTTCCCGTCTCCGCCCACAGGACGGGGACGACTTGACTAGCGAGATGCCCGGCTTCCACGGCTACCAGGTGCCGCGGGCCCCTCCGCCGCGGGGGCCGCGGGAAGGGCCATCGAGGAAACCAGTTGCGGGCAGGGCGGCGGAGGGGGGAATCTTTTTTCCTCTTGTCAATCTCAGTCTCTGTATTTTCGCGCGATCATCCTCCCTCTCAGTGTCCTTGTCCCGGCTCCAGGTCGTGGTCGTGGTCGTGGTCGTGGTCGTGGTCGTGGTCGTGGTCGTCGTCGTCGTCGCCGCCGTCGTCGTCGTCGTCGTCGTCGTCGTTGTCGTCGTCGTCTTCTTCCTACTCCTGCACCTCGTGTTCCAGATGCTCCTCCTCCGCCTCCTCCCCCCTCTAACTGCTCCTTCTCTTGCAACTCTACTTCGTCCTCCTCCTCCTCCTTGCTCCCTCCAGGTCGTGGTCGGCATCGTCTTCTTTCTCCTGCACATCCACATCCACGTCCTCCTTCTTCCCCTCCCTCGCCTCCGCCTCTCCTCTTTTTCATTGGGGTGCGCACGGGGACGGCCTCAGCACAGTGACGGGGCACCGCACGGCGGCACGGCGCAACGCACCTGTGCCGAGCGCCGCCGCCCAGCGTGTTGCGCCGCACGGCTGCACGGGCTTTGCCGCGCAGGCGCGCCATTGGCCTCACCCGAGTGGGTGGCGAGCGACGGATGGGGCCTGGGGGCGCCGAGCTGGGGGGGGTGGCCCCAGCAAGGGGGGAGCCCAGGTCGCCAACCCCCGATCGCCCCCCCACGGGGAGGCGCGCCCCACCCGCCTTCGCCAGTCCTGCAGCCCGAACCCCGGCTCACTTTGTACTCTGCCGATACAGGCGGCGCCGACCGCCCCACCGGTTCCACCAGTGGGGTGTGCCCTGGCGATCCCTGAGTCGTTGACGGGGCCCCTGCTATCCAAGCAGGGGGGGCCTCCGCCTCTCTGCTCCTCCTCCTCCTCCTCCTCGCTTAGCTGGGCTTGATAATTCAAACTCGCAAGGGCGGGTTTGTTGCGAACACTGCCAGAAGCAGAGACATATTCGGTAGGTTGGCGCAGCCGTTAGGAATCCAAACGAAGCGTTCGATGAGAAACCCTTGTCGTGAGATGCGCGCGTCGAGGGTCCACCGTGTTCAGGAGAAAGCTCGGCTCAACACTGTTATGACCTGAGGCACAAGGTGTGGGGCTTGAAGGACGCTGCAGGAGAGACTGTCAAGGTCTTGTGGAGAGCAGGGCTCCTCCCAGATGCTGGTCATGGGGCGGGGGTTTCTGGCTTCACGGATTGTGCGATTCGATAGCTTCGGACACTTGCAGGATGCATGTGCGGTGCCAAACCCAAGTCGTGTCTCACGCTGTATTTCGCGACGCAAGCGGACCGCAGGTTCGACTTATATTTGATGCCACACTTCCATTCGTGAGCAGGCTCGTTTTTTGTACGTGATGCTAGCTATGGTGTAGTCAGGCCGGCCTTATAAGGCTTGGGAAGTTAGTGGCAGTACAATTCAAAACAGAGCGCCTTGGGCTGGGGTGAGAGGTTATCCTCGACAGTGCTTGTGTCTTATCGTGGAAACGTATTGGACATGCTCAGAGAGTGCCCAAGTGATGTGAGGCACCAACTCGAGGAAGGGATCCGCAGATGGCAGTCGGCGCGAACCCTAGAGCACGTTCCGTAGTTAGTAGGCGAGTCTTGCTGGAGGCGACCCATGCGTTATTCGGTTTTGGCCGTCAAGAATGCTAGAAGGAGAGGCGCCCTCAGGGCCCTCTGTGCGGGTGGAGTCTGGACCCCTGTGCGCCTAAATTCTATTCAGCTCCGCAAGTCACCCCACTGTTTGGTTCGCAAGAAGCGACGAGGGACCGAGGCTCGTCAATGGTTTGGCTGTGAAGGTGTGCTTCCTTCGGGGGAAGATTGGCAGCGTGGCGATGCCTTGGATCACCGAACTGCGATGTCCAAGCAGTATGACCAGCCAGAGGGCAAGGCTGCGGTCTTCCGCCCTTGCCGCCTTTTCCAGATCCCGCGAAGGTTTTGTTGCCCTGTGATGGGCTGGGGAGTCTGGCGGCAAGAGTGGGGGTAGAAGGTTTATACGGATGGTTCAGGCATGACTTCTTCGCTGCCAGGACTCACCAGATGCGGGTGGTCCGTTGTGTAGTTCGACAAATCAGGCAAACCTGTGCGAGCAATTTCTGGAGGTTTGCCAGGCCAGCTGCAGACCGTTCCCGAATCCGAATCTTTTGCGGCATTCAACGTGTTGGAAGTTGCAGCTAGGCGTGGGAGGCCACCGCGGGAGGGTCTCGATCCAAGCGCGCCTCGGTTTGGAAACATATGTATGCGTTGTGTGAAGGGCAGGAGGCCCCGCAAGTTTTCGAGTGGGTGCCATTTCATCGTAGCATGATGGATGTACTGGACTCAGAAGGTTGTGACTTTGGATGCTTGATTGGCAACGAGTGGGTCGACCAATTCGCCGTGGCAGGAGCCAGCTGTCACTCTGTTGCCAAAGTTTTGCTAGAGATCCAGGCCGCCAGTCTTGAGGCGGCGAAGAAGAATTCGGAGGTGTTTGCTAGGATAGCGCAAGCTGCTGCCAGGAAAGCCGAGGAGCTGGGCCCGCGCAGTGAGACCCCTCAGCCCCCCGAGCCTCCGAAAGTTGCGCGCGTCGAACTAGCAGCGCATGCGTTCCTGTTATGTGAGCGTCCGTTCGAGTACTGGTGTAGACGATGCGACAGGTCTGCTAGGACAAAGGGCTCGTCCAGAGCGCTTCGTGCGAGCGGGTGCATGTGCAAAGACCTGCGGCCCTCGTTCGCCGACCGCTTCTTGCGATGCCCCCCCAGGGTCTCTTCCATCGTCGCGAGGCTGTCCGGGCAGCGTTGCAGGCCGCCTGGGCAGCCGGCCCAGCTTGACCCGCTGGAGAGGGCCCGCCGCCCTTCCCGGTGCAGAAGGCCGCCCGTGGGGAAACGCGGGGTGCGTCGGAGGGGGGGCTGGGTCTTGAGGTTGAGATGCGCCGTGGTTTTGGCTGCGAAGTTGAGCGTTTCGGATCTGTTGTTATCGGGCAAAACGTTTAACGGTGACTGTGGCCAATCCCGTGGAAACCAAGCCGACGAGGAAACTGAAGCTGAAAATGATAATGGGAATCAGCCTCAGTCCTTGCCATGGCAATATAAGAAGAAGCCGACGTAGATGGTGATCAGTTCCTCTGCCATGCGGTGTGATGATGGCCCCTCCTTGCCAAGATAGTATTAAAAGGGGCCGACGATGTTCAGCCTCGTTGCCATGTGGTGAGATGCTGGTCCCCCCTCCGTGGGGTTCCCCTTCATCCACTTCTTCCTCTTCCTCCTCTGCTCTACTACCTCCGAGGTCCCTGGGCCACCTCCCCCCCGCTTCCTCCTCTTCTCTACCTCCGCTTTCCCGGGGCAGCAGCGGCGCCGCCCCCTGATCTGCCATGCGTGCGGGGCGTATGGTGTTTCAGGTGGTCGCAATCCCAAGTTGAGCAAGGAGTGTAACGGGCCCTCTCGTACCGCCAGCCCGCGCGCGAACGAGGAGGCTCATATTCCCCGCGCGACGCGCGCGCTGCACCCGCGTACAGGCCGTCGCTGAGAGCCTGTATGACCGCACGTGCCACCCCCTCCTCTGGTGCCTTCGTTGCAATTGCAAGGGGCCTCGTGTGCGTGCTGGAACTGTGCCTTGCTGTGCCATTCACTCGCGCAGCTGTTGTGCAGTTTCTGTCTCTGTCAGCTGAGTGGCGTTTGGTCACCAGACGCCCCTTCGTCGCTCGGGGCCTCTTCTTCTTCCTCCTACTCTTCTTCCCCCTCCCTCTCCCTATCCCTCTCACCCTCCTGCTTCCTCTCCCTGCCCCTCTCCCTCTCCTCCACCTCCGCCTCCTCCCTTTCCCCCGCTACCTCCTTCCCCTCTTCCTTCTGTCAGAGCGCGCCAGCGTGCTGCGGCTGGCGGGACGGATGAAGCTGAGCAGCGTTTTGCTGCAGAGGCAGTTGTGTTTATTTGGGCAGATAGCAAGATGCGCGGGAGGGCGCCCTCTCCGAAACGCTATTTTTGACCCTCCGCCCCCTTCCTCCTCCTCCTCCTCCTCCTCCTCCACCTGTCGCCCCCCAGACTCACCTGACCAACCTCCAGCTTCCAACTTCCTACTCCGACGTCCACCTTCCGACTCCCAGTCTCCAGCCTGGGACATTTATCCGACTATGGCGGCCACACCTTCGACTCCGGCTCCAATCCCACCGACTCCGGCTCCCAACTTTCCGTCAGCTCCATTTTCCGACTCCGGCTACCAGCTATCCGACTCCGATTCCCAACTTTCCGACTCCAGCGTCCATCTCTCCGACTCCGGCTCCTAGTGTTTTCCCGTTCCGGCTCCCATCTCTCCGACTCCGGCGCCCGTCTCTCCGACTCCGGCTCCCAACTTTCCGACTCCAGCGTCCATCTCTCCGACTCCGGCCCCCAGTTTTCCGACTCCAGCGCCCATCTCTCCGACTCCGGCGCCCGTCTCTCCGACCCCAGCTCCCAATTTTCCGACTCCAGCGTCCATCTCTCCGACTCCGGCCCCCAGTTTTTCCCGACTCCAGCGTCCATCTCTCCGACTCCAGCGCCCATCTCTCCGACGCCGGCTCCCAAGTTTCCGACTCCGGCGCCCTTCTCTCCGACTCCGGCTCCCAACTTTCCGACTCCCCCAACCACCCATGAGCGCCAAGGGTGTAGCACCCGATTCAATTCGAGCACTTGCTCTTGCATCTTGGAACGAGGAGCGCCAATTCTCATAAGTTGACGCACGCATGTTCTGACGCCTTTTCCCCGCGTCTATGCGGGGAGGCGGGGTGGCGGAAGAGGGGCAGCAACAGCTGATGAGAGTTATAGGCGGAGGAGAAGGAGGAGGAGCAGCAGCACCACCAGCAGGAGAAGAAAAGAGGGAGAAGGAGGAGTGGACATGAGACGGCTTCCTTCCCTCCAATCCCTCCCTCCCTCCTTCCCTCCCTTCTTCCCTCCCTCCTTCCCTCCCTCCCTCTCTCCCTCCTCCCCTCCTTCTCTCTCTGTCTCATTC